TGGCAGGTCGCGGACGCCGCTGCTCGAGCCCCCCTGGGACCCCCCCGAACCCCACTGGACAGAGCCCAAAGCCCCCGAGTGCCGAGGCTGAATTCCCCCGAGGGCCTCTGCGCCGTGGCGCGCGCGGGACTTTGAACCGTTTGGGATTGCGGGAGGCGCAGCGATTGGAGGCCGTCAGAACGCGAGAGCAAGCTCCACCTCCCAGAAAACGTCTCTGACCCCTTCCTGGGCCGGTCAGCTGCGTGGCAAATGAGGTTGGTGCAAATGCCTGAAAAACGCGCCTAGTTGCGCCGGCAGGGGAAGACATTGCTGCGACCACTTAGATTCTTGGGGGGATGCAAGGGCCCCGGGATCCGACGAATTTGCAGGGTGGTCGGTGAGGATCGTGCAGTCCAATGATTAGGGCCGCTAGCTGCTGAGCCTCTGGCTCGGATTGCTGTGGGTTGGACGAATGACCCAACTTCGGCGCCCTTGTTGTAAAATGAGACATGTCGCCGTCCCTACCGTGTGGGATTATTAATACAGTGAGGAGAGGGTTAAATGAGATGGTTCACACCAGCAAAATGAAGAGGACCCTGGTGCAGTTTTCCACTGAAATCCTGTCTCCTGTCAAACTTCTGTCCCCTATGACGCCCTTGTTTTTAAAATTGCAGACTAAGCAAAAATTTGTGAAAGAAAGCCCAGAGAATGTGGGGGGACCAGGACTTCATTAACGAGGCACTGCACATCAAATAGCTTGAGGAGGAATTTGAAAACTCCAGTGGGGTAAGAGTGGAGATAGGAACTTGTGACAGTTTTCATTTCAGTTTGTACGTGGCTTTCTGGTTTGTCAGAGACCTTTGCCCAACAAGGGGCAAAATGCCAGGAATAAATGCAGACAAATGTTACCGTCAGGAGTCAGGAAGTGGTTAACCTGGGAAAGCTCTGGCCACTGTGCTCAGGGGGGCTGAAACAGAGACACCAAACTTTTTTAGAAAGCCTGTTCTAGATATTCTTTGCAGAGGCTGGGGCAGGGAGGAGACCTCACCACCTAGGTGTTTCTGCCATTTCTTAAGTAGTACAGACTGTTCTCATCGCAGAGATCAGCGACAGTCACCTCTCTTGCCCTGAGCAATACCTGGCATCTAGTCTGGCATCACTGTGTAAAGCAGCCTTTGTCAATTTCACCTTTGGATGCTAGAGCAGCCATCTTCAGGCATTTTTTTTTCCATGTGTGCACACGAGAGTAAGGGACAGGGAGAGAGAGAGAAGCGTCTCCAAAGGGTCTGGTCACAAGGAGAGCCTGGGCACTCGGGCCTGCCCTGAGCGCTTCAGGCCGGCCAGGCCTGGCATTCCAACCAGGGGTGGCATGTTGGATCCGCCTCTCTTGAGCAGCGCATTACCACTGAGCCCCAGAGCACTCCCTCAAAAGAATAAAAAAATAAATAAAAACAAGTTCATTGTTCAGTGACTGGTAAAGCCATTATCACAGCTAGCAGAATTATCAGTAATTTCTCAGGAGCATCTAAGACTAATTCACATTTCAATTTCCCCTACTGACCAAAGTACTCCTTTGGGTTGCTGTTTCTTTAGCATCGCATGCGTTTTAGCTCCCGATACACTCGCTATAACTCTGAGGTAACCAAAGTGACTTCATTTTTACTTTAATCCATTTCTTGATTTCTAAAATAACGCATCTGCTTTGCAGAAATCTTGGGAAAACGAGCACTTACAGAGGCAGAGGTGAGCCGCCACCCTCCTTCTCCACACCCAACCTGAGTCACTTCTGATTCAGAACTCGCGTCTCGCACTAGGAAGGAGCCCTGCGCGCCCGGGCCATTCAGAGCGCAGAGATCGGGGAAGTCGCCTTTCCCTTTGGCGCCAGATTTGACGTCTACTCCACCATTGGTCCGCTGAGAGCAGGCCCCGCCCCCGCTCCCAGAGACACCATTCACAACATTGGGCGTCCAGCTCCCTCGCCGCTTCCGGCGCTCCCGCGGCCACGCCCCGAGCTGGCAGTTCGCTAGTCCGGCGCCTGCGTCTAACTCGGCCCTTGAGACGCCGCTGGGGCCTATGCAAGGTCATAGGAACACGCCGAGGTCCGGAGCTCAAGTGCATGCCCAAAGCCACGCTGCCGTGTGCGTGTCAGAACCGTGCTGAGACCTGTCCGGATAATAGTGATAGCGCTGCATGACGCAGCCTCCGGGCAGAGGCGCACTTCAACCCTCGACCCCTGGGAGTCCGGATTTCAGCCCTATTTTATCCACTGGAAACGGGCAAAAAAGGGGTCACACAGCTCTTTAAATTGCGCAGCTAGGACGTTTCTCCCCCAACGTTTATTTTTGCCACAGGGCACATGTGTCAGCAGAAGAGAGACCCCAGGAAAGAGAGAGAAAGTGAGAAATTCTCGGGGGTCATGGCCACGCCATAATCCCTTCTCCCTTCTCTGGGTATATGGGCACGCAGGTACACACACCTGGCACGTTTTTCAGGCCACCGGTTCAGGGCCTCAAACCTGCAGTCAACCATGTGGGATTCAGCTGCCTTAACCACCAGGCCGTGGGCTAGCCCATTCCCCTACTTTTTATTGTGAATGTTTCAACACAGGAAAACTGAAAGAATTCTGCAGTGTTTTCCCTTCACGTAGGACATGACAGCTGTTTCCATGTCATGGTATTTGCTTCGTCCCGGGCTCTGGGTGTGCATGGCTTTTTTTTTTTTTTTTGCATTATTTGTAAGAGAGTTATAGATGCGAACCGGAACCACTAAATAGTTCCACAGGAAGCTCTGACAAATAAGCATGTTCTCTGAAACGACCGTGATAGCATACTTCACACCTAAGAAAACTGCCAATATTCAGGTAATAGCATCTAATATTTAGTCCATTTTCAAATTTCCCCAGTGGTTTCAACATCTTTCATAGGTTTGGGATTTGTTGTGGCTTTAATCTTCACTGGGAAAGCTGTGCTTTCGTCCCCCTCGCATCGGCTTTTCAGAAGCACTGCAGAATGTCCTAAGTTCTACATTTGCCCAATGGTTTCTTCATCGTGTGGTTTAACTCGTTTTTCTAGTTCCCATACTGACCATAAACTGGAATTTGGGTGTAAAGACATTAGTTTAATGTATTTAGGTTGAAAGTCATTGGGCAAGAATACACCCAGGCTTGACTAATTTCAAGTCCTGGGTGTTTCAACCACACAACTCCATACCACGGTGGATACATTAGCCTCAGACTCTTAAGCAGCTTGGGTTTGTCTTGGTTTTGTTTGTAATTTGCCAGAGGGCACCTGTGCTGACCAAAGAGAAGGAGAGGGAGGTGCATGGGGGGGGGGTGGCCATTCACCAATCCCTCCTTCCTTTCTCCTTTCAAGATTTTGTGCACACACATGCACTCGGAGTGATTCTCAAGCCGCTACATCTGGGACTCGAGCTGCAGAATCAGCCCTGTGAGATTCAGCCACCTTAACCATCTTGCCACTGGCTGGCCCAAGCAGCTGGTTCTGATGGCAGGAAAAATCTTGGCTTCTGTGGTAACCCGCCTCCAGGATGGCCCCAGGGATCCTTTTCTCCCGGTGTTCACACTTCTTGTCACTGGAATCAGAGGTGGTCTGTGTGACTAACAGGATACTGGGGAGTTAGTTGTGTGTGTGAGGGACATGACTGTCAAAGCTAAGTCTGAGAGATACTGTAGCTACCCTCTTGACCACTCAGAAGGTCCCTCTGTGAGAAGCTGGCCACCAAGTCATAAGGACACATGAGCAGCTTAGGGAGAGGCCCTGTGGTAAAGAGCCGAGGCCTCTGGCTACCAGCCAGCACCAACTCGAGTGTCATGTGCATGAGCTGGTCTAGAAGTGGATCCTTTGGCCCCAGTCAAGCCAATGACGCCTGCAGCCCAGATCATCTGACTGCAGCCACGTGAGAGGCCCTGGGCCAGAAACACCCAGCCAAGGCACTCTGCAACTCCACACCCTCAGAGTCTCTGCAAGACAGCAAATGCATATTGGTCTCTTTACTATGGTAAAAAATATACATATAAGCTGAAATTTACTATTTTTACCATTTAAATTATTTTGTTTTATTCATGATAGAGTTTGTGCATGTGTACATGACAGAGAGAAAAAGAAAGCACCCCCCCCCAATGAAGCCTGGTCACACTGCAAGCAATCTTTCTTCCGCCAGCTCTCCATCCCGTCAGGACCCTGGGCAGGTGGGCACACCAACTGGGGTTCAAAAGCAAAGCCAGCTACCTCTGCACAGGGCTTAACCACTGCACTCTAGGGCTGGCCCAGTCATTGTCACCATTTGTAAGTGTTCAGTTCAGTGGGATAAAGCTCATTCCATCCCCATGCACCCACACCTCCATCCCTCTCCAGAGCCCTTTCATCCTCCTAAAAGGAAACTCTTTACCCAGGAAGCACAAACACCCCCCCCTCCCTCTGCCAGCCTCTCGTTAGCACCATCTTACTTTTTGTCTCTGTACATTTGACACTCTAGGCACCTCGTGTGAGCAGAACCCTGTAATATCTGCCCTCTTGCAACTGGCTTATGCCCTGAGCGTATTGTTTGCAAGGTGCACCCATGCTGCAGTGTGTGTCAGAATTCCATTCCTCTTAAGGCTGAATAAATTTCTATTGTATGGGTGGCAGAGGTGGTAGGGTGCCACTGTGCAATGCTGGAGAAGGCCCTGGGTTCAGCTCCTGGAGCAATCTGAACATACCAGGCCAACATAGGCATGCCCATGAGCCTTGCTGGTTGGAAGGCTGAGTGTGGGTTTGGACTGTGGCATTGTGGCATGGCAACCTAAAAACCTTGACTAGATTAGTACCTTGCATAGTTTAGTCTTCCTGCTTCTCTGCCTCCTCCCTTTGACGCTGTGTAGGTAGGGCGAGTTCTAAGCCCGAGACCTCCCCTTCCCCAATTCCCCCATAAAAGACCATGTCCAACCCCCAATGGGGACCAGAGACTTAGAGTGTTAACTCTTCTGTGCCCGCTGATGTAATAAACAGTTCTCCTAATCTCTCTGAGGGCTGCTTTACATTCCTTGGCGTCTGGCTTTCTGCAACACTTTCAGACTCTCCGAAGGAGAGGATTTCCCATGGGTTGACTTGAAAAAGAAAGAAAAGGTGTCCCGGCAGGTGGTGTGGAGTCTAAGGCAGCTGGTTCCCAAATGGCCTACTGTGAGGTTCGAGTCGCAAACCCAGTGGCTTGAAAATCACTCCAGGTGCATATGTGTGTGTGTGTGTGTGTGTGTGCTCAAAATCCCAGAGGAGACTGGAGAAGAAATTGCGGTGTAGCCATTCCCATGGGGTGGGGGGCTTTCTCACTTTCCCTCTCTTTTGTAAGTGTTCAGTTCAGTGGGATAAAGCTCATTCCATCCCCATGCACCCACACCTCCATCCCTCTCCAGAGCCCTTTCATCCTCCTAAAAGGAAACTCTTTACCCAGGAAGCACAAACACCCCCCCCCTCCCTCTGCCAGCCTCTCGTTAGCACCATCTTACTTTTTGTCTCTGTACATTTGACACTCTAGGCACCTCGTGTGAGCAGAACCCTGTAATATCTGCCCTCTTGCAACTGGCTTATGCCCTGAGCATATTGTTTGCAAGGTGCACCCATGCTGCAGTGTGTGTCAGAATTCCATTCCTCTTAAGGCTGAATAAATTTCTATTGTATGGGTGGCAGAGGTGGTAGGGTGCCACTGTGCAATGCTGGAGAAGGCCCTGGGTTCAGCTCCTGGAGCAATCTGAACATACCAGGCCAACATAGGCATGCCCATGAGCCTTGCTGGTTGGAAGGCTGAGTGTGGGTTTGGACTGTGGCATTGTGGCATGGCAACCTAAAAACCTTGACTAGATTAGTACCTTGCATAGTTTAGTCTTCCTGCTTCTCTGCCTCCTCCCTTTGACGCTGTGTAGGTAGGGCGAGTTCTAACCCCGAGACCTCCCCTTCCCCAATTCCCCCATAAAAGACCATGTCCAACCCCCAGTGGGGACCAGAGACTTAGAGTATTAACTCTTCTGTGCCCGCTGATGTAATAAACAGTTCTCCTAATCTCTCTGAGGGCTGCTTTACATTCCTTGGCGTCTGGCTTTCTGCAACACTTTCAGACTCTCCGAAGGAGAGGATTTCCCATGGGTTGACTTGAAAAAGAAAGAAAAGGTGTCCCGGCAGGTGGTGTGGAGTCTAAGGCAGCTGGTTCCCAAATGGCCTACTGTGAGGTTCGAGTCGCAAACCCAGTGGCTTGAAAATCACTCCAGGTGCATATGTGTGTGTGTGTGTGTGTGTGTGCTCAAAATCCCAGAGGAGACTGGAGAAGAAATTGCGGTGTAGCCATTCCCATGGGGTGGGGTGCTTTCTCACTTTCCCTCTCTGTCTCTCTCTGGCAAGAATATGTACTCTCTAGCAAAAACTTAAAAAGAAAAAGAAAAGTAGCTATTAAAGAAGGCCACACGTATTCTGTCAGGGTTAGTTTATTTCCTAAGGACTAGCACAGCTTCCTGTCAGCTTACCACTGCATGACTTTTTTTTTTTTTTTTTTTGAGAGTTTTTTTGCTATAGGGTGTGTGTGCTCGCCAGACAGACAGAGACAGAGAGACAGAAAGCGAGAAATCACCCCCCAGGGGGGATGGCCACACTGCAATCCCTTCTCCTCCATTCTCCTCTCGGGATCTTGGGCACGCACATACATGTGCCCGGCGTGAGCTTAATCCACCGGGTTCAGGACTCAAACTGCAATCAACTACATGGGAGTCCAGCGACATAGCCATTACGCTAACTGCTGGTTCCCCCCACTGCATGACTTTTTAAAACATAGCTTCCACCTCTGAATTCAAAGGCTACAACTGATCTCTTTCTTAGTCTATGGTGAGTGCGTGGCTGGGTGGGTGTGGGTAGTGGGGGCAGTTACCCTGATCTGGTAGAAAGCAGACTATGCAAATAGGTTTGCAAACAGGGCATAAATCCTACCATTAGTGTTGGGGGTGCAGCTTCAGGGCACTCAC